GAGAATGAGGCAGTGAGCTCTTTTTGCTGGCACCTCCAGTTCCTATTCATGGTTCTTCTGGAGCATCCACTACCCTTCACTTGACATGATGAAGGGAACAGTTCCCTCTTCTTCCCTCTGAAGAAGAAGGAGAAGGGAAAATCAAATACTTGCTCTCCTCAGTCCTATGACTCCTACAAATTCCGGGCTTCTGCCTCTATAGGCAGAATGAGGCCCTGGGGTAAATGTGGAAGAACCATTTGACTGCCTTTCAAGAAGCCCTGGAGGAGTGTTCTGGCAACTTTCTAGCAGATTTGGTGCTACTTATTTGCTGCTGGCCTTAGCTTTAGGCTAAATGTCCAAGACAACAGATGTAGTCTCAAGTCACATCATTGTATATGTCTATTTTTATACAGTTAGAATGAGAAAGAAGGGTAAAGGATAATAAAGATCAACTTTAGCTTTCCTTTGTGCTCAAAATCCAACCACCTCTTTTGCTTGCCTCCGACCTTGGCAGAACTCTACCTGGATTTGAACTTCCAAGTCCTGCATATTAGCTTATTGGCATCATGCAATACAAAGATGACCCATGTGAATGAGAACTCAAAAGCACCATGCTTTATTCTACCATTTTAAAACATTTTAATGTTCCATTTCATTCACTGATGACTTATTGACCTGCTCTGCCACATTTCTCAAATGCTTTATATTTATTTAAATGTGACTAAAATTATGTTTAGTCTCTAAGACAAAAACATAATTCAAGAAATTAAAGAGGGAAATGAAGGTTGGTGTATTAAACAAACACATCCAGATAGTCTCTACTGAGATCATTTCCAGTTGATATTGCTGGGGACCAAACTACTCTTGGGTGTCCAAAGGGATCAAGCCATCCTAAGTTTCGGGGCCTTTAGTTAGATATGTCTTTGTAATTGGTGAGCTCTTTAGGGGACCAGAATTCTCTTTTTCATCTCTGAAACTCCAGTAAATAGAATCCCACTGCCTAGTACACAATAGGACTTCAATAAATATTGGATGGGCAGACAGGTGGGTGGATGGATAGCTATGTATATGGATAAGCCAACAAGAGATCACTTCTTTCCTGTGATGGCAATGAAATAAGCCCCTTCCCGCATCCCTTCCTGCTTTGGCTCTTTCCCTTTTGGATAGTGAGCAGGCAGTTGAGATTCACCATGTAACCACATGGACAGCATCCTCCCTGTTCAGTACTTGTCCAGAGAGCTCTAGTCTTTGTGCTTTCCTAGAAGCTGAAAGGTAGGTCAGAGCCCAATGTCCTTTTTAAGATAGAAGATCCCTTTCAATTCCTTCCTACTATATCTGTCTTTCATTTTAAGCATTTCCCTCTTCCTACCACCAGTTCCACTGAACTTCAGATGAATAAATAATTAGCCCAGACCAAAGGAGCAGAAGATAATTTGATCTGAAACCCTTTCTTAGAACAAGGCTTTGAGACTCCAGGCCAACTGTATGATACCCATGAAGACATTGTAAGGCTAGAACAGTGGTTCTCGTATTTACTCCTCTGTGTCAGTTTCCTCATCTATAAAATGGGAATAACAGAAGTACCAACCTATTGAAATTATGTGAGGTTAAATGAGTGAATATATGTTAAGAGCTTAGACTAATAACTAACATCTAGTGGATGCTCAATAAAAGTAACAGTTATCATTGGGCATGGTGGTGCATGCCTATAATCCCAGTGGCTTTGGAGACTGAGGCAGGAGGATCATAAGTTCAAAGCCAACCTCAGCAAAAGTGAGCTGCTAAGCAACTCTGTGAGACCCTGTCTCAAAATAAAATACAAAAAGGGCTGGGGATGTGGCTTAGTGGTCGAGTGCCCCTTGAGTTCAATCCCCAGTAAAGTCCCCCAAAAGTAACAATTATCATTGTTGTTAATAGTATGAATTGAGTCTCTCTTATCTGAAATGCTTGGGATTTTGGATTGGATTTTGGATTTTTCTGGATATTGGAATGTTTATATATATGTATTGAGATATCTTGGGGATGAGACCCAAGTCTTAACACAAGATTCAGTTATGTTTCATATATGTATAGCCTTATGGTAATTTCATGCAGTATTTTTAGTGCCCCTGTGTTTTGGCTGTGACCCCTCACATGAGGTCAGGTGTGAAATTTTCCACTTTGTGGAATCAGATCAGCATTCAGAAAGTTGGGGATTTTGGCACATTTTAGATTTTGGATTTTTAGGTTAGGGGTATTCAACCCGGACAACTGTTATTAATCTCAGAAATTAGCACTAGACATCTTTATAAATACCTGAGGAGTTTATTAAAGCATAGATTTCTGGACCTTATCTCAAATTCTGATGTAACAGGTCTGGAGGGGACCCAGGAAGTTCGTTTCATAAGCCTTCCGGCCGATTCTACCAGAAGTCCTCAGGAAACTGCACTGACATATGGGGCTAGGGGGTGTAGCTTAGTGGTAGGACACGTGCTTAGCATACATGAAGCCCTGGATTCAATCCTCAACGCTAAACAAAGAAGCATGAAAGAAAGGGGGGAAAGGGAGCAGGGAAGGAAGCGGGGAGAAATTATACTGACAAGACCTTGGGGGTTGTACTTGGCATAGTAAAACCAGGTCAGAAATCAAGTCTTCAATTTAGGGAGTTGTGGGATATTTGTTGCTCTGTAAGTAAAAATTAATATATAAATGGAAACTATTCCTAATTATAGTTTAAAATGTTGAAGTAGTGTTAGTAACAACAGTCCTCAGTCAAGAAAAAGGTAAAACTGAACAGTTTGTGATGAAATTAGATATAAACCTGACAGTATTTATTTTTTTTAAAGAGAGAAAGAATTTTAATATTTATTTTTTAGTTTTCGGCGGACACAACATCTTTGTTTGTATGTGGTGCTGAGGATCGAACCCGGGCCGCACGCATGCCCGGTGAGCGCGCTACCACTTGAGCCACATCCCCAGCCCCCTGACAGTATTTATAAAGCTTTGAATTAAATTGGCTTTAAAACAGTTTTGAGATTTTTTAAAATCTTTTTATTCATTTAGGTTTTTAAAACTTTGCTTGATTATTAATATTATGACATGCAAAGGATAACTAATTGTTTTTTTAAAGTGTTATTTATTTTTATTGTGGTAAGAACAATATGAGATCTACCCTCTTAAACACTTAAGTGTACCATATAGTATTGTCAACAGTAGACATAATGTCATAGAGCACATTTCTGGAAATGACTCATCTTTCCAAGTGTGTTTTTTTAAATTTAGAGTTATGTATTTTAAATGTCTTTTTTTAAACTTAGGATTTAGGGGAGTTTGGTTTGGTTTGGTTTGGTTTATTATTTTTTATTATATATGTCATATATATATACAATATTTCATTTATTTTATAGTCTAGGAAATAGTCTAAACACTATTCACAACATTATTTCCATGAGAAAATATATTCCCTTCTTCCAAATTTCAAAATTGGCAATCTTTTTTTACAACTACAAAATAAATTTTTATTGATTTTTTTTAAATTTATATATGACAACGGAATACATTAGAATTCTTATTACACATAAAAAGCACAATTTTTCATATCTCTGGTTGTATACAAAGTATATTCATATTCACACCAATTTGTGTCTTCATACATGTACTTTGGATAATAATGTCCATCTCATTCCACCATCATTTCTAACCCCATGCCCCCTCCCTTCCCCTCCCACCCCTCTGCCCTATCTAGAGTTCGTCTATTCCTCCCATGCTCCCCCTCCCTAACTCACTATGAATCAGCCTCCTTATATTCAAAATTGGCAATCTTTAGAAATAGAAACCACTGAGAAGATAGAGACCATCCATGTATAATCTAAAGGGATTTGGTCAAAGTTTTATGAACCAGCCACTTATCAACCATTTTAAAATGTTAATATAATATTTTAAGCAGAGCAGCAATACTTGTCTATTCATACTATTTGTTTAACCTCCTGTTTAGTAGTGCTTTCTTAATTAAATGGCATCATTTAAAAATGGTTCCTGCTCTATCTTCACATTGCTCATGTCAGGTGTTTTATGTGTGGCATGGCCCAAATATTTACAAGTCATAAAGCTTTAGCTTGTGTCAGTATAAACAGATCTAACTATAATTCGAAGAATGTTTGCAGTCAGTATTTGACCTCTCAACTAGCACTGGTGTGCAGAGTAAATGAGGAAAGAAAAGAACAAGACCAACAAAAAAAAAATCCCCACCTATTTTAGAGAAGTTAGGAAATAGAAGCTTTCAGACTTAGCCAAGGTCATTTTTAACTTTTCAGTTTTCAAAGCAGACTAGTGACTATGAGACATTTCATTTGAGGTAGAAACAAATATATTTTAATTGCATTCCTAAACGACAGAAATTGTTTTTCCTCTAAAGAAGTAAATGAATGTTCTTCCGAAAGTGTAACTTTGGATCATTTAGGCTTGTGAGCTTTTAAAAATCTTCTCACACTCTTTGAATTCACAGTCAAAAGGAAAAGTTTATGTCCTTGACTTCCTCCAGCATTGATTCTGTTACTGAACAGCCCTGGTAAAACAAGCATAGACCTTTTGTGAGAACATTCCTTCCTAGAAGGAGTTGGGTTTGCCCTTTCCCAAGATTTAGGTTTCTGTGAAAATTCTTTCAGACTGGAATTGGCCAGAAAGCGTTCTTTCATTTTACTCTGTATTCACGTTATTGAATGTTGCTTCTGTCAGAGGCAAAAAGCACTGGGATCGCTGAAATATTGACAAATTTAAAATGCAAAGGAAATTGCCACATTGACAGAATTTTGGTCCATCTATTTAAAGACTTTTTTAAAAAAAAAAAAAAAGCGATATAAACTCCTATTCTGATAAGTTTTATTGAATGACTAAGAGATTATTAACAAAAGGATCCCACTGAAATCGGCAGCCTGCCTTTTTAAGAGGGAGAGCATTGTTTAGTGAAATAATAAATACAAAGCTGTGAATTGTGGCACAGAATTATGCGTGTTGATTGGATTCTCTTCCTTGCTTTTTAGCTCTATGACAAAATTAACACAAAATCTTCACCGCAAATCAGGAATCCTCCGAGCGACGCAGTACAGAGAGCCAAAGAGGTAAGTGATATATTTTCTGAAAGAATTTGGTATCATCATCTTTCCTATCTTGATTGAAGACATTTCTACTTTACCTTAAGAGACAGTTTCCTTAGATTTACAGTTGGACTCATTATATTCAGATTTTGTGTTTCTTAAGTTTATCACTGACAGGAAAGAAAAAAATTTTCAGCATCAATATTGCCAGTTTTCTAGTTTTCTGGTTCTGCTATATAAACTTGAATATATTAACATATCGATTTTACTTCTTTTGTGTTTTTTTTCCAAAAAGAAAGTGTAAAGTTTTTTTTCAAAAAGAAAGTATTCACAGTACTTCATACAAATAGATGTGCTATGCAATTTTGAATTGCTTTTTTCAAGTGGTATTGTTTGAAAGTTAATTAAATTTCCATAGCAGTTAAATATACTGAATTCAAAGAAGTCATTTTTATACATTGCCAGTATACGTGGCTGTACATATCACAAACTTTCTTTAAATTTACTTATTATAGAAACATGATACCACAGAAAGTTTGGAAAATAAAATTGATCCATAATCCCTTCTCCCCTACACAGTGGTTTCGTTTTTGCACATCCTTTTCCACTCATTATCCATTTGCATATGAATTTTATATAGCTGCAATCAAAATATCTTTTTAGTCATAATATTATATAATAAGCATTTTTCTGTGTTTCTACTTGGTCTTCATAAATATAACGTCTAATGACTGTGTATTTTTCTTTACTATTATTAAATTAAAATGAATTAACAGTTCCCCCATTGTTAATCACTTACTTTTTTTTGTTGTTGTTGTTGTTGTTGTTTTTTCATTTTTTGATCTTTTGAAAGTCTTCATGCATCAGTAGAGGAAAAGGAGAGGCCAGGGGGAGGGAGGAGGGAAGAGAAAGGGGAGATGCTGGGGAGTGATATTGGCCTAATTATATTGTTATATTGTGTGCATGTACAAATATGTAACAAATCCCACCATTATGTACAACTATAATGCACCAATAAAAATGTGGAAAAAATAAAATATATCAAAAGAGTCTTTATGCAAATAATCATTTTCCTTTTAAAAAAATATTTCTTATAAAGTGAGATTACTCCATGAATAAGTATGAAAGACATAATCTATTCCCTAGCAGATTTTTAATACAAGACTTGTACTGGAAAATATTGTACATTCATTGAGAAAAGAGACTGATGCTGTGGTGGCTGCCAGGCCATCCCCCTAAGTCAGAATAAGCTGAAAGGGGTTGTCTCCTTATTTTGCCCACCAAGCACTCATTGAAAGGAATAAAGGTGTCTTTGGCAGGAGTCATGAGAATCACTATCTTATATTCATGATACCCAAACAGAAGCAGAGACATTCTGGGGAAAATTAGTTGGCTTAACTGAACAGAGAGAACCTGCTGACATTATCCAACTAGCAATGCTTAGGAGACCACACCTCTGTACTTGAGATCATGGGCCATGAGAGTAGCAGGGGACAGAGAGAATCGATGCTTTCATCCTTTCATTTTCCCCAGAGAGAAATGTGAATCCTAAAATACATCAGGGAGAATTGGTTTATCATCACTAAATACGAATTCATAGCATAACCAGCGCTCAGTAACAGAATATTTGGATAAGAAAGTAACCTTGTAGTGTGTATGTGTGTTGTTGTTGTTGTTGTTGTTTTGTTGTTTTGTTTGTCTGTGGTTGAGTAGCAGAGAGTGTTGTAAGTATGATGTTGAAATCTAAAACTCAAACTAAATGACCTGAAGACATCCCCTCCTAAGGTTCTCACAGGTCAAAGCAAGAGATCCCTATTGGTTTGAGGCTTATGAGCCCCTGATATCTTATAGTGCTAAAGCAATCCTTGATTGGCTCCAGGGTTGGGATTCATTGGAGTACAATGTATAAGACCTCTCTGTGAATCCAGCCATCTACAGTTAGAAAAGTAGCAGGTGTTTGCCATGGGCTCATGTCCCCAAATCAAGTAAACTCCACCCTAGCGGGAAGGGATTATTTTTGAAGAACAATTTTATTTTAAAATGCCATTTTCACGAGAGCAGGGAAAATATTAACAACTAATTAGTGAAGAAGATTTGAGTAGCAGGAGAGAAGAAGGTTTTTAACATTGTTCTTGGGTTCTCTGCCATTTAATCCTAGAAGCCATTGACAGAAGCATGGTTTAATCTATATGGGGAGATGAGCATGGAAAATAGCATTAATCCTGCCTTACTATAAAGAAAATTTCTTGAGTGTATTTTGAATTAATTAACTATTCTAATTAACTGGTATTCTTTAAGTAGTTATTATTTGAGCCTATGTCATCTTTCTAAAAGTAATTGGCAGTGCTGTTAATACAAAAGAAACTGTTATTAACTTTTGGTACAAATTGATTTTGGTGATGAGTTTGGAAGCTGTTCTCTCATTAAGCTAATTCAGCTACTTAAACCTGTTATAAATATGTATTATAGGCCTGTCATTTTGCATCTTTCAGTGACCTTTTGTGTTTATAGTTGGGTAATGTAACCAAACTATTATATGAATTTGTTTCATCTTTATTGTCATAAGTACCATTATTTTGAATATTAATAACCTTAGAATAAAATGAAGAATTTTGGAAAATAATTGTTGTGCCTGACACAAAAATACACTCATGGACTTTAATGTAAAAGAATTCCATTGTTTGTCAATCTCTTATCATGTTCTCATTGCTATTTCTTGATTATTTTTTAGGTATTGGAAGAAATTTCATGTTACCCTGAGAATAATGATGCAAAAGAACTAAAGCGTATCTTAACACAACCTCATTTCATGGTAAGTAACAATTAAATTTCCATAGAACTGAAAACCTCCATTTGTTTTTAATAGCCCTCAGAAAATACCACCAGCTTCATCAAATGCATTTTTATCCATATACAGTCATATGTTGCTTAATGATAAATTCTGAGAAATGTGTCATTAGGCAATTTCACCATTGTGAGAACATCACAGAGTGCCCTTACACAAACCTGGGTGGTATAGACTACTACACACCTATGCAATCTGATATGTGTGCTGTAGTTCTATGCTCCTAGGGCCATGATGAAATAATAGTAGATTAAATCAAACACAAGAGAAATGTATGCAATCAAGAGACACAGTTAACACCAGGTGTCTGAGGATGCTGCCAGCATAATATGGCATACAAGTTTTATAGGAAACCTTTCTCTTATAAATAGAAAGAATATACTCAAATAGTAGTAAAAGGTGTACTATAGTAAATACATGAACCAATAACATCACTGTTTATTATCATTATCAAGTATTATGTACTGTACATAATTGTACGTGCTACACTTTTATCCAACTGATGCCAGAGTAGGTTTGTTTACAGAAGTCGCTGGATCATAGAAAATTTCCAGATCAATTAAAATCTTATGGGATCACCATCATATATGTGGTCCATTGGGGACCAAATGACTATGGTCTCAGACTATTAAGATCATAAGACCAAGTAATACCAAATACTTTAAAATCCTTTTTATTTACTTTGTATCACTATTACAAAGATGTGGCTTGTGGAATGGCTCTTTAGGGGCTGTGTAGTCCTCAGACAAGGAATTTGTTTCCTTGCAGGAACATCCTTAAGTCACTGGAACTGTATATTACCTAAACAGCAAAGAGCTAAAATTAGAGACAGTTTTTGCTGATAAAGAATTCTCTGAGCATAGGTGATACATTGAAAGATTTACATCTCTTCTCTGACACTGCAAAACTCTCGAACTTTCTTCCTTCACTTCTGTTGTATGGAAAATTCTGTTGTATAAGAACAGCACCTATATTTAGCCAATTATTAGAAAGCTAAATGGTTAAACAAAACTTAAAATAGATATGCTTTTCTGTAGAAAGAGGTTCATGGTTATACATTTAACCGCAATTCAAAAACTCAATTACAGATGGAAATTCATGTTGAATCTAACATTTTTAAAATATTAGCCACATCTGTATATATAGAATACATGCAAAAAGTTGAAAATCTAGCTGATTGACCTTTTAGAAGAAAATCTGACTTTAAAGCCATGTTCTTATTACTACTATATCTGGTGTAATTTTTTTAATTTTATTTTATTGGCTCTTCTTAGTTACATATGACAGTAGAATCCATTTTGATAGTATTATACAAGCATAGGTTCTTTTTTATTCTAATTAGGATTCCATTCTTTTTTTTTAGTTATAGATGGACACAGTACCTTTATTTTATTTATTTATTTTTATAAAAGAAAGATGGAGGGGGAGGGAGAGAGAGAGGTTGGCAGAGGCCAGGCCAAGGAGAGTCTTACAGGCCATGGGAAAGAATCTGGTTTTTTCTCCTGATTGCAGTAAGAAGACACTAGGTGACTGCAAACAGGAAAATAGCCAATATCTATGCTTTCATGATTCCAGGGGCTGAAGTGTAGAGGAGGGATGATAGGGGTAATAAGAGATAAAGGTGGAGAAACAATTATAAAGCTGAGAGGCAATAGAGGCCTGGAGAAAAATGGGGATGGTAGAAAATGGGCAGATTAGGGCTCTGTATTGGAGATGATTTGGCTACAACAGGACTGCTCATGACTGAGAAGGGAGGTAGTGTGATTAACCCCCGCTGAGAAGAAACCGGCCTAATAAGGCAAAGAGACTTGTTTAAGGTCACCCACCAGTGAGTGGCTTCACTAAAGTTTAAGCCAATGCTCTTAAAAGTGGCTTGATCTGTTATACTGATGAGTTCTCCTATAAGCTTAAGTTGAACACATTGGTCTTTCCCAAAGAAACGTGTGGATAATGTCCCATATGGGAAATATAATCCTGAGATACAGATAGATAGATAGATAGATAGATAGATAGATAGATAGATAGATAGATAGATGGATGTTAAGTAAAATCTGAAATGCTGGATAGTTCTGTCTTGTAAACATTTTTTTAAATGATGATTTTAAAATCTTGGATTTTTAAAAAAAATATATTGATAGCTAAAGGGGAATATTTTAATGCTTACAATATTTTTGTTCTTAGCATATTTACAGTTTCACACTTATTTCCTCAAGTATCTGGATTTTTCTTTGCTTTCTGATCCCTGTTATATGAGGATTTAACATTGGATTGATTATCTGACACTTAAAGTTCAGATATTTGTAAATATTTACAGTAACTTTAGGAGAGTAAACAAGGATAGATTCGAATGACTTTAAATCTGTACTGTATCTTTAGAGGTCATGATAAAAAAGAATATTATCTCACTAACTCCTTTTTCAGTGATTCCATCTAAAAGACTGATTTTTCAAAAGTACGATTCTTCTGTTCATTGCAGTTGTAAAATACAAAGCATTAAAGACAAATTCCTTATACATTACCTGGATAGAAAGTTAATGCTTTAAATTTTTTCTTTAAAAAATAGGACATAGAGTGGTATGGAAGAATTTTTAAAAACAAAGCATATATCCAGCTTTTTGCAAAGCTTTAGGTTGTCACAAAAGTTTCATTATAAAGTAGTAAGTTTTATGGTTTATAATTAAAACATCAGATGAACCACTTCTCAAACCAAAAAAATTCCTATTTTTCCTGTTCATTTTAAGGTAATCAGTTTATTTTTGTCGTTGTTGTTGTTGTTGTTGTTTTTGCCACTCTAGTCTTTTTAGTTATCTTGTACATACCTTTACCACAGTACAAAGTGTTTCTTCCCTATTACATTACTCTTCTTATGTAATTAAAACTAACAGCTATTAGTAACAATTGTCAACTTTGTAACAATTGCTCAGTCATACCTCATAACACATTTGAAGGAAAACACTCAAACTTTGATTTCTCTATTCTTTATTTTGCATATTCTTTTTAAAAATTTTTTTAACCTGTAAGTGGGCCCCTTTTTTCTGTTTGCATATAAACTAGAACTTGAGGGTAAATTTTATTTTGTGGCAGCAATCTATTACAGTGACTAACTGTGGTCAGTATCAAGTTCCTTATTTGGTGACATCATTTAAGCATTTTTCTTTTAAAATTAATTTTTATGATTTTATTTAGTTTTATGAATTTTATGATTGTGAGCTTATTCCTCCTTATAAATAATATATTAAATGCAAGCATTTGTTTATATAATTTTAAAGGGTAAATACAAATCATTTGCAAAAAAAAGTAGTGTAAACATTTTCTTCAACACACATAACTTCAAAGACTGGCATTATCCTGATGTAAGCATGGCTGCCTGCTTATGCCTATGTTGACAAAGAATGTTTTTTAAAAATCACTAGTTAGGCGGGGCATGGTGGCACACACCTATAATCCCAGTTCTGGAGGCTGAGGCTGAAGGATCACAAGCTCAAAGCCAGCCTCAGCAACTTAGAGAGGCCCTAAGCAACTTAGCAAGACCCTATTCCAAAATTAAAAAAAAAAATTAAAATTGGGGAGCAGAGGATATAGCTCAGTGGTTAAAGTGCCCCTAAGTCCAATTCCCCAGTACCAAGAAAAAAGAAAAAAATGAAAAAAAAAAAAATCACCAGTTATAAAAGACATATCTCTACATAGTATGATGAACCTGATTTTTAGCAATTGAAGCTTTTCAGTTGGCCTATTACCGAGTTTTGCTTTCTGCCTTAAATCTTAGTTTCTTAAGTGGCTGCAATTAAACCAGAAAGAGAAGAATTTGCTCACATGACATAATCTCCACATGGGCCTGGGAGTAGCAATACAGGGTGCCATCAAGGCACTGATGAGGAAGCTATGGTCCCCTGGGTCGTTATGGAGCCCTACTTTGAAGCTATGCATTGCTTAGTACCCCTTAGCTACCCTCACCCAAACCCGAGTTGAGACCAGCCACCTGAGATCTTGGAAATATCTGCTGTTTCCATTAGAAACCCCAATGCATACACTACTCAAAGCATATTCTCTACGTGGAGAAATCAGCACCATCTCCTTTCTGATTTTACCAATTGTTGCCTTATTTTTGCCTCATATGCACACCTTTCAAATTAAAATAGCCAAGTCATGACTTTGATAAGCCTTTTAATTAAATAACTTAATTTCAGATGCCAAAGGTTATACTTGGAAAGCAATTTTAATTGCATTTCATTATCTGCAGATATTTCATTACCACACAGATTACAAATTAAATTAGAACTAAGTTTATAATTAGCACACAAAGAAAATACAGTCTGTGTAAAGCTCCAAACAGACTGATAATCAGCTATAAATCCCCTTTGAAATAAAAATGTTAAAATACTCATGCTTATTAAAAAATGTTTTTTATGATGGCACATAAAGTGCAGTGACTAGGAGGATATCCTTTTTTATGGAAACAAGGGACATTTATCATCCAAGTTCACCATGATGACATATATAAATCAGTACAAAGAAATAATTTTTTCTTTGTTAATGGGTTTTGCAAAAAGAACTCGATAATTTGCAGCTTATTTTTTTGTTTGGGCAAATGCTCCAAAAATTAGAAATGAACAGAAACATTAAATACATTTTGAGTTCCATAGCATATATGAAATTACTTTTTTTTCAAATATTATACACTCTTTTTTATTTCTTTTGCCAAGTCATATAAATTGTCTTCATCTTTTGTGTTATATAAAAGTCATATTGTTAATACCATTGATGAAAGATAGTTGTTTAATGCACCAAATATTGCACTATTTATTTTTAAATTTGTTTTAATTTTAAGCCCCAACACAAATTTGCCAACTCTTTTTAAGATGATTATTTTTGCTAAATTATTTGAAATTTCAGTATGTCGGCCTTTATTTGAACAAGTTAGTTGGTTACATTTTCATAACATCGGATAACACCTTTAACCAGGTAATCAAATACATCTATTTATTGATTTGTTCTCTTACTGATTCATTCATTCTTTTTTTAAATTTTTCTTAGTTATACATGGATACAATATCTTTATTTTGTTTATTTATTTTTATGTGGTGCTGAGGATGGAACCCAGTGCCTCACATGTGCAAGGCAAGTGCTCTGCCACTGAGCCACAACCCCAGACCTCATTCATTCTTTTTAAAAAAAAAAATCCATTGTTCAAGATTATTTGCCACAAAGAAATTAAGGTCTGGTTATATGTAGATGTAATCCACTTTGACTTCTCTTTAGATGAGAGAGATCTTTGAGAGGTCAAGAATAATTTTATGTACATTCCTATAGCAGATTTCTGCAGGAATTATAATGTTATTAATATTTGTCTTCTTTCATAAAAATACTAGGCCTTACTTCAGACTCACGACGTAGTGGCTCATGAAGTTTACAGTGATGAAGCATTGAGGGTCACACCTCCTCCCACCTCTCCCTATTTAAACGGTGATTCTCCAGAAAGCGCTAACGGAGACATGGATATGGAGAATGTGACAAGAGTTCGGCTGGTACAGTTCCAGAAGAACACGGATGAACCAATGGTAAGTGGCAAAAGAAAGTTTCCTATACTTTCATAAATCCCAGCTTGAGTTAGATCCACTAACTTCAACCTACACTACTACAAGGAGGTAGGAGGGAGGAGAGAGGGAGGACATGAGTAGTTCTAAAGAAATCAGTTCTCACAGCTTCAGCTCCCCTCTCCCTTGTCCTTTCCTAGAATTGTTCTGTCTGACACCATGTGTTAGACATGCTGGTCCTTCACATTTCCTTTCAAAATTGTGTTTCAACCTTACACAACACACACACACACACACACACACACACCACAGCAAAACAAAACAAAAACATCATATTGGCAAATTACCCCAGAATGTAAAAATCTCTGGGATAGCAAAGAAAGGGACAGTTTGAAGTACTAGTATTGATGTTAAGAAAGTGAATGTCTAATGCATTGTAATAAAACATCCTTTTACAAATCTGGTGCTACCAGACCTTTTGCCTTCAACAAAAATAAAGGGAAAGGTTCTAATTCAGAAGGCATTCAAAGAATCAAACAACATTACTAAAATCAGATTCCTTCCATTTACATCTGCCCACTTAATGTGAATTAATTTTCTCAGTGCTGAGGAATAGAATTGAGGCTGAACCTTACCTCATTCTCATAGAATTGAGAAGATTCTGGAAGGGCTTGTTGATGGTAACTGAGCAGAGAAAGGGTGAAGGGGGAGAAGGGGACACTGTTCAGGCAAACCAAATAGCACATGAAGGAACCTGGCAGTCAAAAAGATGTTTAGCATAGTTTCAAGATGGAAAGAAGGCTCCATAACTCCACTGCAGACAGCAAGGTGGTTGGCCACAACCGGACCACACAAGTGTAAAAGGCCTGCTAAGGAGTCTTTTCTTTATCTTAACAACAGTGGGAAACTATTCAAAGGTTTGAAGCACTGAGATAAATTACATTTCATGTTAGAGATATCAGTCTGGAGAATATATTTAATGGGATAAGAGGAAGACTATAGCTAAGAGACTGTTACTACAGTAGTACAGGGGAGAGATACTAGAATTCTGAACTAGAGAAGTGCATGTCAAGATGGAAAGAAGTGAACAAATTAAGGCCTGGGATATAGCTCAGTTGGTAGAGTGCTTGCCTTGCATACACAATGCCCTGAGTTTGATCCCCAGCACCCCCCCCCCCAAAAAAGAAGTGAACAGACTTAAGAAATAATGAAAGAATAAAATCAGTAAGTCTTAATAATGAACTTACATTGGGAAGGATAGAGAAGCAAATATCAGGGATGAACCTTAAACTTTGGATATGGATAATGAAGGACATTGAGACAGGGAACATGGGACATGTTTGGAGGAAGGATCATGTCTTTAGGGGAAAAAAACATTCAAACTTATGCATGCATAGAAAAGGGATATTGGAATATAGAAAAACAAATGTGTACTTAAGAAAGTTGCCCAGGGCCTGGGGTTGTAGCTCAGTAGCAGAGCACTTGCTTAGCATGTATGAGGCACTGGGTTCAATCCTCAGCACCACATAAAATATAAATAAATAAATAAATAACAGCTATTGAAAAAGAAAGTTGACCAATTGCCTTCCAGATTAAAGGAAGAGTTACAGAGCAGTGATTCTGTGACCACAATTTCCAGAAAAACTTCAACACTAGACATTTCTTATTATTAGTCTTATTAGCAATTCTTTATTCATTGTATATTATTATCTTCCTTTTTTATACTGGGGATTGAACCAAGGGGCACTTAACCACTGAGCCATATCCCCAATCCTTTTATTTTTTTTATTTTAAGAGAGGGTCTAAGTTGCTTAGAACCTTGCTAAATTGCTGAGGCTGGCCTTGAGCTTGTGATCCTCCTGCCTCAGCCTCCCAAGTCACTGGGTGTATATTATTATCTTGCAGTGGGCAGGGAGCATGCAGATCATCTCACCCCTTCTGGTGTTCTCTAGGCAACTCTTTGGCTTAAGAGCATGGGTGGCAGCAGCTCTTAGGCCTTAGGCCTCAGTTTGCTCGTCTCTAAAAGCACACATGACTACATGATCCCCAACATCCCTCCTAGCTCTTAAAGTTAAATATTCCCTTCAGTCATTTTATGTATTCATTCACCCATTCAGCAAACATTTAAGCTGCCACCATGTACAAATCACTGGCATTTAATATAATGCCAGTGATGTTGTGGCAGATAAGACACAGCCCTTTCCTAGAGCTTGCTTTCCACAAGACCTGGCTACAATGAGCGAGTACATTTTCAGCTTAACAGATTAATAAGCCCAGTTATGACAGAGCTAGAGGGGAGAACGAACTGTGTTGGTGAGGCTGGAAGAAGGTGTGATGTTCAGCCCAGCAAAACAGACAAAAAGGTAGAAGGAACCATGAGAAGGCCCCGAGGTATCACATGATCATTATCCTCTGAAGCAGCCCAATGAATTGCTTGGTCTTTTGTCTGAAGGCTGACTATACAGAAACATAGATTGAGTAACAGCATAAAACTGTGTCCCCAAGTTACTTTTTTTTAATGTTCTTTATTTTTTAGTTGTCGGTGAACCTTTATTTATTTTTACGTGGTGCTGAGAATCGAACCCAGTGCCTCACACATGCCAGGCAAGTGCTCTACCACAGAGCTACAGCCCCAACCCCGCCAAGATACTTTTTCAGAAAGCATAAAATGGTCTAAAAGTCTTGAAAAAGCCCTTCTCCGTTTTGTCTTCTGTGGTCATAGTGTCAGGTGCATATTTCTTCTTTTGACTGATTGCCATAAAAAGTTCTTTCATGTAAAATATATTCCCAATAATAGAATATAAATCTCTTATGCTTAATACAGATGTTATTTGTTCACTTATTTTTCTTCTTCAAAGCCCTACATTTCTGTGCAGATTAAATCTCTATGGCCTGTTTTGGCTTATGGACCCCCTGTAATGCATCCATTCTCAAAGGGCGATGCACTCCCATAACACCCTGTGCTTTCCAGGTTCATAACATCATACTTGTAATTATTTCTCTATTGACTGTTACTCCCATAGTGGCAAGTGACAAAGACCAAACTTGAACTGTCTTACACATTAGGGGAAAGGCTTATATAAACAATGAAAAGCCAGAAATGTACACCACCACCCCAACACCTCTGGAAGGTTCCAGAGTAGGCACCTAACTCAAGGCAGGCTAATTCCTTCCCCAGAATTTGTGAACTTGGGAACAGAGAGAACATGAGTCAGTTTCTCTCTACATAGAAATGTTTGATGTAGATAGAATTTTTTTCATATTAACTACAATTGTTCTGAGGCAACTTTCCCCTAACCCTGGGAGACCCTATCTATCTCATTTACTACTTTGTCTAATAGAGTACCTGCCCTATAATAGGTTCATATTCATGGTTGTTAAATGAACACATAAATCTATTAGTTTTAAGGGTGGAACCTCCACTGTATTATCATATCCCTTATGAAATTAGAATTGACGTACATATTAATTCACAGCATTTTTCCAGGAATACTTCTCTTGGTAACCATACATGCTGATTGAAAGTACAAATTGGAAATGAAACTTGAACATTACAATTGAATGTTGGGAACGACAACATTTTGATAAACTAATTTTCCACATCACTCACCTACCACTTCTGAGAACTGAAAAATAGGAACCATGCAAAGTTATATTTTGTGGAATTATATAAATTAAAATATAAATTCTCAAATATTTCCATGATGTTTTCTGACCAAGTGTAATTCTCCAATGAAGAGACAAGATTAGGTTCCTACTCTTAACTATCTCAAATTCAAGGCCACTTTTTAATCAAGGGACCTTGTTAAAAATACAGATTTATGGGCTCCATTCCAGGCCTCCTGAATCTAAATCTAAAGAATGAACTTAAGAGTCAGTATTACTTATGTGTTCCTTGTGTGAGTCTTAGGATCAAGTGATCTGGTGCAATTAAAAATGTTTATGAAAGTTTGTCTTTTGCCAGGCATGGTAGTGTACTCCAGTAATCCCAGTGGCTCAGGAGGAGGATCCCAGGTTCAGAGCCATCCTCAGCAATTTAGCAAGGTCCTAATCAACTTAGCAAGACTCTATCTAAAAAGAAAAAGAAAGGGCTGGGGATGTGTATCAGCAGTAAAACACCCCTGGGTTCAATTCCCAGTACCAAGAAAGAAAGAGAAAGAGAGAAGGAGGGAGGGAAGGAGGAAAGTATGTCTGTCTTTTAATAGTGAATAATGAGAAAACAAAAAATAGTCTACTCCATAGAATAGTGTTATGACATTAAATATGACTGTGAAACATCCACTTATGACCAAGATGGAATAAAAGGGACCAGGTTTACCCTCTAATCTGAAACAATCAAAAATATAAAATTATTTTTAAATATAAAACATTATATTCCATAAAAGAACAGTTTTCAAGGCATTGGACATCAAGTAACAAAGGACAGTGATCTCTAAGAAACAGAAAGCTATCACTGAAATATCTATCAAAAATATTTAGCAATTTAAACAAAAATAACCATGTGCTACACATAGGTAAAAGTAAAATGTAAGACAATAATAGCACAAAGATCAGGAGGAAAGAAATTAAGTTTACTATTATACCATATGCAATGTGGTGTAGTATCACTTGAAGGCACACTGGTAAGTTAAATATGTATGCTGTTAAGTCTAACACAACCACTAAAATAACAAAATGTAGAGCTATAGCTAATAAGACAACACAGAAGAGAAAAAAGAATAAAAATAATCCAGGCAGAAAAAGAGATAGAAGGGAACATAGATAGGTAGAACAAGTAGAACTCAAATAGTAGGAAGATACACTTATAACAAACTATATTAATAATCACATTAGTCTGACACAGTGGTGTATGTCTGTAATCCCAGAGGCATGAGAGGCTGAGACAGGAGGATTATGAGTTCAAAGCCAGCCTCAGCAACTTAGCAAGGCCTAACTGTCTCTAAATAAAATATTTAAAAAGGATGTGGATGTGGCTCAGTGGTTAAGCCACTCTTATACCAAAACAAGCATCATTAGCATCATGT